TACCAACACACTGGTAATTTTTTTGATAAAATATTATCTGAAAATTCCCAATTTATTCAATGCTTCACTACATACTTCCCAATTTTTCACTCTTATATTAACTTTTCTCCCTTATGCTGTGCTTCATAATTACTTTGCAATTGGTTAATCTCTGAGAGGATAAGAAAGCATTCTATTTTGTTTCCTTAACTAGACTTAAATGGTGTGATAGCAAGAATAATCTGTGCAGTTTCTTTTTAACTCTCGAACATAGTATATACCAATAAAAGTACAATAAATGTTACAGGTGTAGGGCCAGGGATTTAGCTCAGTGGCATAAACACCTGCCTGGGAAGCGTGAGGTTGTGAGTTTGATCCCCAGTACCAAAAAAAAAAAAAAAAATTACAGAGTTGTCTTAACAGTTATGCTCCAATCACCACTATCATTAACATCCTTGTATTCATAATATACATATGGGCTTAGGTGATGTTTATAAAACCAATGACAAGAGCTGGAGGTGGTGACTCAGGGCCTATAATACAGTACACAGGAGGCTAAGGCAGAAAAATCAAGAATTTAATGCTAGTTTGGGCTACACAGTAAGATCTCTTAAAAAAAATATTTTTATGACTGGGCATGGTGGCATAAGCCTGTAATCCCAGTTATTCAAGAGGCTGATGTGAGAGGATTACAAGTTTGAGGCCAACATGGACAACTGATCAAGGAGCGAGAGAGAGAGAGACACAGAGAAAGGGAGGCAGAGAATGGAGTACAACCTAGTGGAATAGCACTTGCCTAGCATGTGCAAGACTCTAGCTTCAATCTTTAGTACTACACACACAAAAAAGATTATATAGAGAGACACAGATATAGATATGTATATATACACAAATATATATATATATATATATATTTTTTTTTTTTTTTTTTTTTTTTTTTTTTGAGACAGAGCCTTGCCATGTAGTGCAGGTTGGCTTTAAACTTGCTTATATGCCCTAGGCTGGTTTCAAACTCCAGGTGATCCTCCTGCCTCAGCCTCCTAGTGTTGGGATTACAGATGTGCATAACCATGCCTGGTAAGATATATATACATATACATATCTGTATCTATCTACCTATCTATATCTTTTTTTTTGTCAATACCAGGGATCGAACTCATGACTGCACTTGCAAGGCAGGCGCTTATGCCGCTGAGCTAAATCCCCAGCCCCTACCAATCTATATTTTATATGTATGGCCATCACTGAAAATAACATATCAGTCTACTATTTGCTTTATTAAACAGTATAGTATTATTAAATAAAGGTCAAATTACTATGTTGTCATCAGTTGACATGAACAAGCTAGCTGGGAAGAAGCTCTCCTAGATACACTAGAAACAGTGCCCAGATACTAAGAATGAAGGGACAAGAACTGAAGAGAACCAGTTCTGTAAGGCAGAAAACAGGCTTCCACTGAACTGCAGAATGCAACTTCCAAACTCATGTCTCATTTTCTTCTTGCACGATCAACTGAAGTTTGGTTCACCGCCTGCTAAAGCAATCTGTGGCAGGATGACCAGATTGTGAGTTTCCTGGCTTCAGACCAAGATTAAAAGGCGTAAAGGAAAGGATTTCATCAGTTGATGATACTCTTTTGTTCTTCGGTCACTGAACCCTAAAAAACAGATTATCTTCTAAAAAGCCTGTTGATTGACCTAACTGGCCCACAGAAACAGATTCGGTTAAGTTCAATTATTTCCCTGCTATCCTATCTCAGTATATACAGTATAAGTCCAGATATAGGAAAATACAACTTTAAAGGGCAGACTAAATATCAAATTATTGCAGTTAGAGCAATAGGATAAGCACAAATGTGAGCAATCTAAACGAAGTCTAGAGTAAATGCTGATATTAGTATTCAAGACAAAAACTACAACCAGTCAAGTAACTTGAGTCACCTACTTACTTATGTCTTATTTGCACATACTTAGTATCTTGAATTACAAGCATTTTTAAGTAAGTATCTGCTATATCACTGTGACGTGGGTACTCACTAGGAGTGTATTAAGCCAGGCATGGTAGCGCATGCCTGTAATCCCAACACTAAGGAGGCTGAGGCAAAAGAATTAACAGATTTTTTTTTTCTTTCTTTGTTTTTTTTTTTTTTTTTTTTTTGGTCTTTTTGAGACAGGGTCTCACTGTGCAGTTCAGGCTGGCCTTGAGCTCACTTTGTAGCCTAGGCTGGTCTCGAACTCGCAACGATCCTCCTGCCTCAGCCTCCCAAATGCTGGAATTACAGGCATGAGCCACCACACCCAGCGAATTAACAGATTTTGAGGGCAGCCTGAACTACGAAGACTTCAAAGACAGTCTAAGCTACATAGGGAGACTATGTCTCAAAAAGCACAAAAAATGAGAAAGCATCACAAAACAAACTCATATCCTGTCTCAAAAAAGGGGGCCAAAGAGTTAGCTCAGTGGCAGAGTATCTGCCTTGCACGAGATTCTACATTTGATCCCTAGTACCAAAAATAAATAAATAAAAATGATTCTTTTTTTTTTTTTTTTAAGAATATATTAAGCACTAACATAAGAAGACTTACTTGGGCCAGAAATTTAGCTCAGTGGCATAAGCACCTGCCTGATCCCTAGTACCAAAAAAAAAAAAAAAAAGACTTACTGTAGTTCTTTTTTGTCTTTTTTTTTTTTTTTAGAAAGGGACTCAAGTTTGTAGTTCAGACTAGACTTGACCTCCGTTACATAGCCCAGGCTGGCCTTGAACTCACAGAGGCCTCCTGCCTTCCCACCCCAGCTGCCAGAGTGCTGAGATTATAGGCATATGCCTGAATTTATTAGTTTTTACAGAAATATCAGACAGGTAAAACAGATTTTAAGCCTGCACATATTTAAGAAGATTCCTACAAAAGGCTTCTGCATTACCGGCTATACAAATACTGATGACATATTTACAAATAATAAAAATTTCCATATAATGAGTTCTATGTAATAATACTGAAATGACTTAATATCTAGGGAGAAAATATATTGGAAGTATTTCTAACAGTAGATGAAGACTTGAGATCTCATGTTCCTGAATTTGATTCTAGCACACATTTTAAATCTCTACGTACTATTGTCTTTTTTTCCACTTGCAGAGTGTCACAAAATTTCAGAGATTATTTTTTTTAAGATAATATTTGGGTAATTCATAAGGGCAGTTTAGAAAGTTTTTAAAAAGATCTAGTTTTTTTGTTTCTCGTTTTTATTTGGAGTTTTTCATAAGCACACTTTTTTGTAAATCAGTAAACATGATGGCACTGTGTATTATCACTGAAACATGCACCAATGACAATTTAAACACTAAAAGCTGGTCCCTGGTTCCAAAGGTTAGTAGTTAGTCATCCTATGGTTAGTAGTTAAACATCCACATATCTCACACCATATCTCTACTGAAATACAGATAAAACAGGATGAACTGGCACAACCCTGTAATCCTAGCAGTCTGGAAGGCTGAGGCAAGAGGATCACAAGTTTGAGTCTACACTGGGAATGCAGAAAGACATCCCGCCTCCTCCTCCCAAAAAAGGGGCTGAGGATGTATCTCAGTAGGAAGGCCTTGTGTTAAATTCCACAGATAAGTATCACAGATAAAATAGACCAAGTAAGTCAAATTAGCATCAATAACATGACATTTAACTATTAAGTCTTTAAACTTTTACTGCTTTTTGAGGTGAGACTAGGATAACTATTGAAATCATTCATTAGAACTGTGCTTAACACAAAGTTATATAGGAGAATAACACATTTCGGTGACATTTAAAACTTCTTCCTGCCCAATACTTTTCATAATAGGGGCTATGACACTAACTCAAATTTCACACTGTGAATTACTGCAACTTACCATTAGACTAAATTTTCAAGCAAATTTAAATTGGTGTTACATTCATCCCTGTAGAAAAGTTAAAGGTGATTGAAACAATCCAATTTCACAAAATTTTATATATTACACTTGAAATATAATAAAGTCACACTGTAACATCAGAATGAAGGGACAAAGATTTGACCTGCTATTTTGGAAATCTGAGGGTGGACCACCTAGCATCTTTATAGTTAGGTACTTTTACAAATTTTTTGACACAAGGCTCTCTGTGTAGCCCAGCCTGACCTCGAACTCACAGCAACCCTCTAGTCTTAGCCTTCCTAAGTGCTGGGATCACAAGTGCACGCTGCCACGCCTAGCATAAAAAGTTTGTTTTATTTAAAAAATACTTTCCTGCCGTAAACTAAATCATTTTCTTTTGGAAATCCACGTGTTATTTTTAGGAGATGCTAAAAAAAAAAAAAAAAAAACCGCAACAAACACATAAAACAGGTGCAGGAACTCTGTCCAGTTCCACGTTCCAGTTCGTCCCAAATTCTTAATTGTGTGACCTTGGGAAACGCCTCGGGCTCGGGGACTCGGTTTCTCTCTCTTCTCAATTACGAAGGCTCTGCTGTAGAGCTTGAGGGTGGGACTGGTCCCCGCGCAACGCAGACACCAGGGCCTCAGCTTCTCCAGGTACGCGCAGATTGAGCTCAGCTCCGCTCTTTCCCGGTCTCCCCCAGCCGCCCCGCCACCGGCTCGCTCAGAGCAGTCGGCTCCCGCCCCCGGCGTACCCCAGGCTCTGCGGGGCGCTCCCGCTTGGTGCCCGGCTGCCAGGAAGGGATCTTGCGTTCCTCCTTCCACCCGCAGAGAAGCGCCCGGTCTGCCCTTCATTCGCATCCTAAGCTCTTCCCCTCATAGAAGCCGGGACACCGCGGGTCGCCAGACACGCCAGAGCCCCGACCGCAGACCCCTTCCTCCCGACCTCCCCTCTTCTCCCCTTCCAGCACCTTCTCCTCCGAGGGAGTCTTACAGCCACACAAGCCCATTCTTCCTCAAACTCTCACGTCATTTCCATCCGGTCGCCTTCTGCAGAATCCCAGAGGCCCCTCAGCTCTCCTCACAAACACAGCCCTCCCCCCGTCAGCCCTCAGGTCTGAGGAAACCCCCACCTCACCTCCGCGGTGAGAGATGTGTTTACTGAGGAATCGCTGCTTCTTTTTCTGGTGCAGCAAGGTCGGGTATTTAAGCAACAAGAATGAGGTCACCAAGTACCCTCCCAGGGTAGAGAGAAGGCAAAAGGCTGCGGTGGACGACATCTCAGACACCTAGTGGGAAGTCTCCCACCTCCTGGGCCTCTGAAACCCCGCTGCGACGGTCCAACGGCTCCGGCGGCTGCTCTAGGTCCGCTCGCCCCCAGCCGGCACCAAGGGTTCAGCACACTTGTTCGTGCCTGCCCATTGCGCAGGCGCAACGCGAACCTAGTGCCGGGGCAACAAAGGGGCTGCAGCACGCAGGCGCACTGCGACACTCAGCTGGGAGGCTGCAAAAATCCTATCTTAAGACTAGTCAAGAATTGCTTTGAAAACTGTCACACTGGAAAGAAAAGAATTCAGGAACTCTAGGAAATGCGAAGAATAGTTTTTGATGCTCTGTATACAATAGCCATTCAAGTATTTGTTAATTTTCAAATCCATTTTAAAAAGCCCCCGGACCTGGTGGCAAATGTCTATAATCCCAGCACTTGGGAGACTTTAGGAGGATCGCTGTGAGTTAGAGGCCACCCTGGGCTACCTAGCGAAATCAAGGCTAGGCTGCACTATATAGCGAGAGCCTACCTCAAAAAGTAAATGTTAATTAATTAACAATAAACAAAGGAACTGAGTGTAGTGGTGTGCAACTGCATTCTCAGCATTCGGGAGGCTGAGGCAGGAGGATTGCTATGAGTTGGTGGCCAGTTTTGGCTACACAGTGACTTGAGGTTCAGACTGAATTACAGAGCAAGACCCTGTCTCAAAAAAGGAACAAACAAAAAATACAAAACCGTGTAGCCCAGTGGTAAAGCGTGTGCTTAGCATGTGGAAGGTCCTGCACTCAAGATCCATCACCAAAAATAAATAAAATACATAAATGAGGTTGTAAGATATCACTTCTTAGAAAAACTGGCCACTAAATTAAAAGAAAGTCCCACTAGACTCCTTTTCCTCCCACACTTTATTAACTGCCAAGACATTGAGTCACATTTCAATGCAAAATAATTGAAAAAGCAGGGAGACAAATCATATGTATATTTTTAAGGACTGGGATTGACTAGTTTGCTCAGGCTGGTTTAAAATTCCTGAGGTCTAACGATCCTCCCCCTCAATCTAGGTGCTAGCTAGGACTTGGTCACATCATTTTTCATTTTTGTTTGTTGGAACTAAGGACTGAACACAGGGAGTGCTGAGCCCTATCACCAATTCCTTTTTGAGATAGTCTCACTGTGTTGTCCAGGCTGGTCTTCAGCTTGTAGTTCTGCTGCCTCAGCCTCTAGAATATCTGAGATCACAGGCATGAGCCACTATTTGCAGCTTCCCAGTGGTTTTGTTTTATTGGTGGTATGAAGACTGGGTAAGTGTTCTACTACTGAACCATGTCTCCAAATTGCTTCCCTGTATATTTTTCAATGGGAGAAAAAAGCTTTAAAAGTAGCCAGATGTGTCAAGATCATACTTAAGACTAAACTCTCCAGACTAGTGCTCCAGAAATTCGAAATCAGTGTCTAGAAAAATATAAACCATTTTGGTATCTTATTTTGTACTTTATCTAAATGACATATAACCAATGGTTTTGTCATAGTATTTATGCGAATAAAAGTGACCGTAGATTGGTAAGACTTGTACCACTTAGCAAATTATTTTATGGTATAGGATTTTTTTTTTTTTTTGAGATAAGGACTTGCTATGTAGTTCAGATTGACCTTGAACTCAATGTAGTCCAGGATAGGCTTGAACCTGCAGTGATCCTCATCTCAGCTGAGATTACAGGTTGAGGCGCCATACCTAGCCAGTACAGGAATTTTACAAGTAGTATCTACATTAATATCTTGGCTTTAAAATTTTCAGTTTAGGTAACAATTGTTATCCAACATACTATCTGGGTGAACAGGTGTACCTCAGTGTTAAAGAGCTTGCCTAGCATACATGAGGCCCTGAGTTCCAGTCCCAGTATGGGAAAAAAAAAAAAAAGAGAGAGAGAGAGAAAAAGAAATAAAACAAACACAAACAAGAAGACCTCATCCATTCAAGAATGAAATCATTAAGACAAAACAAGAACTAAAGTGCCAGAATTGTGAACCAAAGATACATAGTTGTTTTTTTTTTGTTTTGTTTTTGCCATTTACCATATAATCTAATGGATCACCTTATTGTGACAATAATTTTAGGAGCAGGAAAATCCTGACTAAAACATTTTAGAAGAAAAAAAAGTTTTGCTCAACATGGCTATACAACATTCAATTGTGATAGAAACATGTTTTTATTATGGACAGTAAAACAAAAACAATAGGAAACAGAGGTATCAACCACACATTTTCTAGAACCAATTATGAAGTTTTATCCCACTTACAATAAATATCAACAATATAATAAAACAGTGAAACAATTATTGCTCAAATACTGAACTCCTATAACTGAAACACATTTTGGGGTTGGGAAACCCCAAACAATATACACACACCAAAAAAAAACGTCACATACACACCAAGAGCAAAAAGTAGCTCATGTTTAGGATTCAACTGCTTAGAGAACTCTTATTGTGTCACTGCTTTAAGAACTCCACGGAGCACTTTATAGCTCATTAGCTGCACATTTTCCTTAGGAGGGAAACAAGGTCCTCTCTCAGTCACATATGCATAAGGAAATCTCAAAACCCAAAGGCCATCAGGTGGAAGAGTGATTTCTTGTTTTTCTGGGTAAAATACTGGACATGGTGGTGGGCCTGGCTGAACCTAAAAAATAGAAAAAACATAATTATTTTCATATTTCTCAATAAGAAATACCTGAAAGATGAGTACCTAAACAAATAACAGTTTCAAAGAGCATGTAAGATTAAGCAGATGGCCAGGAATTTAGCTCAGTGGTGTAAGCATCTGTCTGGCAAGTGCAAGATCATGAGTTCAATTCAAGAGGCTGAGACAGGAGGACTGTAATTATGAGCCAGCTAGGGCAACTTAGCGAGAGACCTTGTTTCAAAACAAAATTTTAAGAAAGGGATGAGGATGTAGCGCACTGGTAGAGTGCTTGCCTAGCCTGCAGGAAGACTTGGGTTCAACTCCCAATTATCACAGGGGAGAGGGGGCAAGAAGGGACAGAGCGGTAGGCTCAGGAGTAGAGAACATATTTAGCACGTACAAAGCCCTGGGTTCTGTCTCCAAGACCAAAAAAAAAAAAAAAAAAGGGAGTGTGTGTAGGACAATCACCCAGCCAGGGCAACTTGAGACTTAACACCCTGTCCAAAAATAAAACAAGGGTAAAAAAAAAAGTGATATGTAACTCATAGTGAAGGCCCTGAGTTCAATCCCCATGAAACAACAACAAATAACAACAACAAAAAAGAAGCTGGGCATTGGTGGCACATGCCTATAATCCCAGCATTCAGAGGCTGAAGCAGGAGCATCCTTACTAGTTCGAGGCCAGCCTGGTTTCTAAAGTGAGCTCAAGGCCAGCCTGAACTTTATAGCAACACCCTGTCTCAAAAAGACCAAAAAAAAAAAAAAAAAAAAAAAAAAATTAAGCAAATATTGGCACACTACATTTAGTCTCAATTTTATTTTTATTTTTTGGGGGGGATTTTTTTGAGGGTTTCACCATGTAGTTCAGGCTAACCTTGAACTCACTATGTAGCCGTCCAGCCTATTCTCCAATTTACAGAGATTCTCCTGCCTCAGCCTCCTGAGTGCTAAGATTATAAGGGTGTGCCACCATGCCTGGTGTTTTTCTACAGCCTTTTAAAATTCAAGTTCTGTTTTTGAAACAGATGATGTAAACTGTGTGAAATGACTAAAACATTCACAATTTTCTAGCTACCATTAGAATGGTAAAATAAAATACAATTTCTGAAAAATAGGGTCTCAAAAAAAGAAAAGATATTTAATAAATGGGCTCTCACTTATGCTACCAGGTTAGCCCCAACTTTCTGGGCTCAAGTGATTCTCTTGGCTCAGGCTCTCTAGTAGCTAAGGACTATAAGTATGAGTTACTCTGTCACCCTTTTAACAGGCTCTCTTTTTAACAACTCCTCTTTTAATAGAATAGTATTAAGTAGAAAAGATATTTAAATTTAAAATGTTTAGGAAAGCCAGGGATTTAGCTCAGCAGTGTAAGTGCCTGCCTGGCAAGTGAGAGGTCATGAGTTCTATCCTTGGTACCAAAAAAAAAAAAAAAAAAGTTTAGTAAAGAAACCAGTTTCATTATTACCTTGTACTTAAAAAATACATATGGGGCTAGAGATTTAGCTCAGCAGCTCAAGCGCTTGCTAGGTAAGCATGAAGTTGTGAGTTCGATCCCTGGTACCAAAAAAAATCAAACCCAGCATAGTGGCACATGCCTATAATCCCGAGAGGCTGAGGCAGGAGGATTGCTGTGAGTTTGAGACCAGCCTGGACTACAAAGTGAGTTCAAGGCCAGCCTGAACTGCACTAATGAGACTCTGTCTCAAAAAACAAGCAAACAAAACAAACAATCAAAAAAGACCTCACCAGTTTTCTTTGGGGGTGGGAAGGGTTTTCTCTTACCTGGGGCATTAGAATTATCTGCAAAGGAGCATCAGGAACCACAACAAAAAGCCTCATAAGTTGAGCATAATGCGGTTTTAGCCCTCTGCCCTGAGATGATGACAGAATGTATAAGGGCATGTCACTGTTCAGGGCTTTTAAAGCGGACTCCTTTGGCCCACTCCCCATCACTTTCATTACTTTGTCAGGCCCTGAGCACATGAATCTCCGACCTCGAGAGTCTTCATATTCAAAGCCCACGAAAGCCCGAGCTATATCATCTCGTCGTCTTCCTCTTCCCATTACTACTGCACTTCTCTTTCCAGGGATGGCTTTATTTGGAGCAGGCCAAGAATTTGTGTCTAAATCTCCTTCATCTTCAGCTCTAGTCCTGATGACGATGTCCCAAGGCATAAGATAGTTTGTCCCTGGAATGAAGCCCTGTTGGTCTAAACCTGTATGGAAGTTGTAAGACTTAGCTGGGCCTAGTTTAACCAAAGACCAGCTGGAGAATTTGGGTAGAAGACCTTTTGGGCAATTGGAATGTAGCATCCCTGGGAGATACTCAACTGTGGATGCCTGTCGATCAACCAAGTTTGGTCTCTTCTCAGGTTTTACTTCTTGCCCATGAACTTCTGCATTGTCTCCTCCAGCTTGTGGATCAGCTGGATAAGTACCTAAGCTATCAGTAGATTGGCCTAAACTCAGAGCTAAACTCAGAC